TGCTGCGGCTGCTTCTTGACCGAGATGCGAGGAGACAAAGCGGCCTTCTTCACTGTCGCCGAGGCCGGGCGAGGCGAAACGACATTCTGCTTGGCTGGTTGCTTGCGGCTGCCGGCCTTCTTGGCCTTACGGTCGCGCGGAAGCTCGTCACCGTCACTGAAGATGGCCAAGATCTCCGCTTGCTCCTGCTGCTGAGCTTTCGATAGCTTCTGCTGCTTCTTTGGCGCGTTGCGAGGCGAAGCGATGGACTGCTTGGAAGACTGGCTGCCGCGGGGTGAAGCCACCGATTGCTTGGCAGTTTGCTTGGTTTGCTGCTTGCGCGGCGCCGCCTTCTTGGCCTTACGGTCGCGCGGGAGCTCATCACCGTCACTGAAGATGGCCAAGATCTCCGCCTGCTCCTGCTGCTGAGCTTTCGACAGCTTCTGCTGCTTCTTTGGCGCGTTGCGAGGCTGCTTGGAAGACTGACTGCCGCGGGGCGAAGCCACCGATTGCTTGGCAGTTTGCTTGCGGCTGCTGGCCTTCTTGGCCTTACGGTCGCGCGGGAGCTCATCACCGTCACTGAAGATGGCAAGGATCTCAGCCTGCTCCTGCTGCTGAGTCTTGGAGAGCTTCTGCTGCTTTTTCGGGGCGGTGCGAGGCGAACTGATGGACTGCTTGGAAGACTGGCTACCGCGGGGCGACACCACCGACTGCTTGGTCTGGATTTTGGCTTGTTGCTTGCGCGGCGCCGCCTTCGTGGCCTTGCGGTCGCGCGGGAGCTCGTCACCGTCACTGAAGATAGCGAAGATCTCCAACTGCTCTTGCTGCTGAGCCTTGGAGAGCTTTTGCTGCTTCTGCTTTTGAGCGCGCGGTGACGTGGTCGACAGGTTGGCGGGAGCTGAGGCTTTGCGTCCTCGGGTCGCTTGCTTCTTACGATCACGCGGAAGCTCGTCGCCATCGCTAAAGATGGCGAAGATCTCGGCCTGCTCCTGCTGCTGGGCCTTGGAGAGCTTCTGCTGCTTCTTTGGCTCGTTGCGAGGCGAGGTGATCGATTGCTTGGACGACTGGCTGCCGCGGGGTGAAGCCACCGATTGCTTGAGCTGCTGCTTGATCTGGTTCTTGCGCGCCGCCTTCTTGGCCTTGCGGTCGCGCGGAAGCTCGTCACCATCACTAAAGATAGCGAGGATCTCGGCCTGCTCCTGCTGCTGAGCCTTAGAGAGCTTTTGCTGCTTCTTCGGGGCGGTGCGAGGCGAGGCGATCGATTGCTTCGAGGCTTGGCTGCCGCGCGGCGATGCCACCGAAGCATGTTTCTTGGTTTGCGCGTTGCGCGGAGAGGGAGCAGGTTGCTTCTTCAGAGTTTTCTTGGCCTTGCGGTCGCGCGGGAGCTCGTCACCGTCACTGAAGATAGCGAGAATCTCCAACTGCTCTTGCTGCTGAGCCTTGGAGAGCTTTTGCTGCTTCTTGGGTGTCGCGTTGCCACCACGCGGCGCAGTTGCGGCCTTGCGAGTCGTCACCTTCTTGCTGCGGTCGCGCGGAAGCTCATCGCCGTCGCTGAATATGGCGAGGATTTCTTCATGTTCCTGCTTCTGGGCCTTCGTGAGCTTTTGCTGCTTCTTCGAGGGCGACATGCTACGCGGCGACGCAATCGACTGCTTGGCGGGCTGGCCGCCGCGGGGCGAGGCAACCCACCCGCGGGGCGAAAGCGTCGTGTGCTTGGCCTGACCCGCCTGCTGCTTGGCCTGACCCGCCTGCTGCTTGCGCGCAGTCTTGGTCTTGCGGTCCCGAGGAAGCTCATCGCCGTCGCTGAAAATAGCCAAGATTTCGTCCTGCTCCCGCTTCTGGGCCTTGGAGAAGGACGCCTTCTTGGATGGCGTCTGCCGGGGCGACACCGACGCCTTCTTGGCAGCAGCTTGGCCACTACCGGGCGACGCCACCCAACCACGGGGCGAAAGCACCATGTGCTTGGCCTGTGGTTGCTTGCGTGTCGACACCTTCTTGCGGTCGCGCGGCAGCTCGTCGCCGTCGCTGAAGATGGCCAAAATCTCTTCTTGCTCCTTGCGTTGGGCCTTGGAGAGCTTTTGCTGCTTGGGTGCCTGCTGGCTGCGGGGCGACTTGGGCAGCTGCAGCTTGGCAGGGCGGCGGCGTGTGTTGTCGCCCTCGTCGCCGCTGAGGACGTTCAAAATCTCATCAGCTTCTTTCTTTTGCGCCTTGGTCATCGGCTGCGGCGCCGGCGTCGGGTTGGACTGGCGGCGCTGGCGCGGGGTCGACGGGCGCGAGTGGCTCGACGGACTGTTGGTGCGCGCCGCCTGGCCGTCAAACGCCACGTGCTTGGGCGTCGTGCTCGCGCGAGGCGAGCTCGACTTCAAGTTGCTGCTACGTGGCGACAAGATGGCTTGGATCTGCGCTGGGGTCACGCGCGGCGACTTGGCTTGCTGTTCGTCACGCTTGAGGATGCGCACAGACGGCGCTTCCCACGCCGACGTCGGCGCCGGGAAAAGCGCTCGTCCATCGGGTTGCTGCCACGGCTGCTGGTACAGCTGCGTCTGAGCATACATGTTCCCGTTCCACTGGGCGGGCGCCGACCACACCGTCGGCGCAATCGACGAGTACGGACCATACGGGTTCATGTCGTGCTCGAGCGCATCGTCGCCCCACCGACCCGTCGGGTGGTGGTGCGCAGCATGCGACGGCGACGAACTGCCGATCCACGGCGCCGCATCCGCGTGTAGCGTCGATTTGATCGCCGTGGGCGACGCCACAAGCACGCGAGGGCTACCGGCGCGCGGCTCGGTCCAGCCCATGCGAGCAGGCGCAACGGCAGCCGGCGCCTGGGTCTCCGACCGGCGGCTGGGCGTGTTGGTCGGTGGCGGCGCCGTGAGCTTGGCAGCGTTCGACTTGGTAGCGTTCATGCGGCCGTTCTTGCCCTGCAGCACGTTACGGTTGCCTACAGGAACATGTGGGTTGCAGTCGCATGCGGAGGGTGAGGCTACCTTGCTGGCGGGACGCGGACGAGGGCTGCTTCTGCATGATCGATGGTCGTGGAGGGTCTAACGAACCTTGGGTGCTGTACCGGGTGGGTGAGCGGGAGCTCTTTCAATTGAAAGTGATTTCGGAAGCGGCCCCCGCGGATCTTCTTTTTTCGCCACGAGTATAATTAGCTCGTGCGGTTTCGCGCGGGGATTGGTCAGCTAATTTAGCTGACGTGAAACCGGCCGCTCAAAATAACACCTTGCAGTTTGTAGGGATTATAAACCGTTTGCCCAAAATAGAAAGGCAACGCCCTTTGCTGCTTTGATGCTCGCGTTCTTGAGGGACTCGAAGCGTACATGATCACCGATGGTTAGAGGTGGAGGCGTCCTTATACTTCTAGAGACTAGTACATACGCATGTGGTGGGCGCAATTTACAAGAGAAGCAGACGTTGTACGACGTCGCGCGCCGTGGGGCGGGCCGACGGTTCTCGTCGGAGACAGTCGGCCACAATGGCGCAGTAGCCCTCCGGTGTCATCTCGGCCATCATTGCATGCGGCACAAGGGGTGAGGCGCCATAGCTCTCGGCCACCATCACGTCGGTGTTCACAGCGCCGAGCTCGTGGACCCGCTCCGCGTACGGCGCTAGTCGTGTCGCGAGCTCGCCGAGGAACACACCGAGCGTGTAGACCTGCATCGGTCCGCGGGTCGAGGGTTGGCTCAAAAGCGCTTCTGGGGCAACATACGCCAGCGTCGCGCTGCCATAGCGCACCAAGCTGGGACCGCCCTCGTCGTCGAACCAGCGCACAATGTTCCACTTGCAGTCGTAGTCTTGCTGCACGAGAATGTCGCGGCTCGTCCACTGCGTCGTGTCTTCCGTGTGTTCCTGCAAATACGCGAGGCCGTCTGCGAGCCCCGTCGCCATTTGGAGCTTGAGCGCCCAGCTCAAATCGACTTGGTCGTTGGCCAGAAGACTCGGGAGGGACCCTTTCTCGGCGCCCTCAAAGACACCGGCGATCGCGATACCCGAGAGCTGGACACCACCGAGGAGGGCGACGACGTTCCGGTGGCTCAGCAGCGACGCTCGCTCGAGCTGTCTCAAGAACATGTCGAGGTGCGTATCGTACTGGACTGCGAGCACGTCCAACTTCTTGAGCATCACGGGCTCACTCTTGTAGATAGCGCTGAGAATGCCCGTCGCGGCGTTCGTCTTGATGCGCGAGAACTCACTGGCGTCGAGGAGCCGGTACGATGCCAGCGCCGGGAACGGACCGACGTTGGGGACAAACTGCGGCGACGCGCGGGCGGGCGCAGAGAACGGGGACATGGCGCGGTCCCCGCCAGACGCAAGGAAGCTCGCAGCAAGCGAGCTTTGCTGTTGCGTGAGGAACGACGACATTTTTCGGTGCCGGAAGACGAGGACGAAGACGACGCCCGCGACGATGCAGCAGCCGGCAACGATGAGCAGGACCGTCGACCAGGACAGGGCATTACCGGCGCTGGACGGGGTCTTGCTGCTCGACGTCGGGTCGATCATGGAGGGCGAAATATTGCTGGTGGCAGCCGTCGGCGCCGGCGTAGCGATCGTGGCCGCGTCCACAAGAAGCTGCCCCGATTTGAGAAGTGACGCATACGTGGCGAGCTCGGTGGGCGTGGCGTTGGTGGGGACGCCAAGACTTGGGTTGCCTTGTAAGTCGCTAATGGTGCATAATGGCATCGTCAGGCGTGCATGCAATCGCTTGGCGCGTGTACATGGAGACGTTGGCGTGCGTTAGATGAAGCACTTGCGTCGGAAAGGTCGTCAAGGCATTCCCACGCAAGTTTCTAATAGGAACTTTGAGTCTGCGGCAACTTGAGCGGTTGCGTACAGTGTGGAAAGGGTGGCCAGCGCAGCTGGCGCGAGGGATGGGCAGCTGCTGAGAGAGCTGTTGGTGATGGCTCTGTCCAGAAGAAGGTGCAATGAGTCGGCAGCATATCGTGAAGCTAGAGGCGCGTACAGCGTCGTGAGCTGCTCAAACGCTTGCAGATTCAAAGTCGTATTGGGCAGCGTGCTGTCGCCAATCGTGCTAGACACGCAAGGTACATAAGCGCTCGCATCCGTCATACATCGTTTTGTACATGGACGCCACAGAGCTCGTCGGCGGCGTAGAGGCTTGGAGCACGACACGTTGCAGGACTCTACGGGACGCGTTAGGTCTGGCATGCATGGTTCCTGAAGGCGCACAGAGAGGTTAGCCGAGCAAGGCCCTGGAAGCTTGCGAGGCTAACGTTGGTCGTCGTACTGGCGTTGCCGACGATCGCTCTACGCGACAGTAGGGTGTCGTGAGCTCGTGGGCGGAACGCGGCTCGTACAGGTGGCGGCACCCCGTGGATGTGTTCGTCACAGGATCTCGCAGCGCAGCAACAAGGTTGACGTTAGCACGTAGCGTGAACGCATCGGTCGTGTTGTTGAGATCGTACGAGACACTGTCCTCGGCCTGTACCTGCAGCGTGACCGAGTCGTGTGGCGGGAAGCACTCGTACGGCGAGACCGGGCAGGCGATGCACCACTGGTTCACGGACTCGGCGATGTCTTGCTGGAAGGCTGCATTGAGACCGCAGCCCATTCGGGGCAGGATCGCGGCCATGACGCCTGGTGCTAGAAGCAGCAGCGCTGCGGAGCAGACCCGTCGTAGCATCCGGGAGGTCGCACAATGGGTGCGCTGGGCTGGCCTTTTGACTTCAACTTTGTATGAATCCAGTTTCTTCCGATCATTTTTTTCGCATGCAGGATATCCGATACAAAACCCAAGTGTATCGACAGCCTTCTCGAATTGTATTATATCCCGTTTCTGTGCTCCAGGTAGGTTTTTGCCGAAATGAACATCAGAATTCGGCATTTCTCGAAAACCAGATCCAACGAGCATGCGGCACGATGGAAGCTGGCGGCTCCAAGGACGAAGAGCACGATGGGCGCGATGGACCGAGATGGCCTGACGCCGGGGTGAAAAGGCTCCAGGAAGATGCGACATGGAGCTACAGGATGCATCCGTGGCGATGCGACGACGGCGTCACAGCCCGGCTCGGCTACCACTGCACATGACGACGAAGCGCTTTGATGATGCGGTTCCTGGACAGCCGGCGCGGTACTTTGCAACGGGTGTGCCCATGGACGGTGACAGCCATGCATCGATGCACGATGTCGTGGGATGGGTGCAACGTCGCTCGTCACCACTTGCACTCGTTTCTCGTTGCTCGTCTCGCCAGGTGTGTCGCCTTCGTTCTCAGCTTCGCTCTGCGAACGACTGGCGGCCGCACGCGTCTCTTCCTCGGTCGACCAGGTCTCGCATGATGACTAGAGCTACCGTGTGCTGATGTCACGGGAAGTAGCTGCGTCCACGGCGGGCGTGGGACGTCCTCGTCATCCTGGATGAGTTGTGGACCCGAGCCCGGGCGCTTCTGAACTTGGCAATCTCTTTCTCAAAGCAGAGACGCAGGGCTGCGGAAAAGAAGAACCGGCAATTGCTTGTTGCCTCGGGGCCCTGCCCACGCTGCCGCCATGCGTCCAGCATAGCTCTGGCACACTAGATTGTGCAGTGCTGACGATTGTGCTTGGGGCCATTATGAATTGCCGGGCAGATTCTATTTGTCTCCTCCCAGGCGTGGTACTCGAGATCCCGCCGCCGCTTCAAGCCAGTTGCCTCGTAGAACCTTTGTTACTCTTTGCACTTGGTTCCTCTGGCTTGGAAGAGGGACGACGTATCGTACAGGACAAGCTTCTCTCGTGCGAAAGGACACGAGGCTTGGCCTGGGGAAAGCAGCGGGGGATGATTAACACCGGCCGGTTGGTCCATTCCTGCACTGACCACCCGCCCTCAACCAGAACACCCATGGAGCACGTGATTTGATAGCCGTCCTTGACGTGATTTGATAGCCGTCCTTGACGATTCCAGTCCTCGAAGAAGAATGCGCCCATGCGGTCTCGTTCAAGACTGGCCGCCCACGAGATACATGTGAAGGGCTTGGAACGCCCGGCTGCAAGACAGACCCGCACGAAGTGTTGTTCGTCATCGCCAAGTGCCCAACGATCGCCTCCACCAGTGCGCTCAAACGTACCAGATTCGCTCACTAACTTGATACTGTGGCTTGATAGACACCCTGCGTTTCGATTGGCACTTGCATCGGCCCGACGTGGCGTCGACAGCGTTGCAGAGACGGCAAGGCATTTTAATACAATAAGCTCAATTCAGCATACAAATGACAAGTACAATAAAATGAATCGGTGTGGCGGCCCAAGTCACAGATTTTCCAACAAAATAATGGCCCGGCGCGAGAAGACGGCGAAAGCCTCGACCGACGCGCCCAAGGTGACGTGGGCACCCATGGCCTTCCGCACGAGCACGTCGACGACGCCGGGCGACCGCGTCTTTGCCGGCGCGCTCCTCGGCGCCATCTGCGTACTTGCGGTCGCGATCCGCCTCTTCTCGGTCGTCAAGTGGGGCCGCGTCATCCACGAGTATGACCCGCAGTTCAACTTTCGCACGTCCAAGTTCCTCGCGACTAACTCATTCAGCGAGTTCCTCAACTGGTTTGATGACCGTGCCTGGTATCCGCTCGGGCGCGTCGTCGGCGGCACCTTGTACCCGGGCTTGATGCTCATCTCGGCGTCGGTCTACCGCGCAATGCACTTTGTCGGTTTTCCAATCTCGATCTTGGACGTGTGCGTCTACTTTGCGCCCTTCTTTGCGGCAGCTACGGCGGTCGCCACGTATGGCCTCGCGACGCACATCACCAAGGAGCCACGCACCGGCCTCCTCGCCGCCTTCTTCATTAGCATTGCGCCCGCGTACATCTCTCGCTCGGTTGGCGGCTCGTACGACAACGAAGGCGTCGCCATCTTCCTCCTCGTGCTCGTCTTCTACCTCTGGGTCAAGTCGGTCGATTCGGGCTCGATGGTCGACGCTGCGCTCACGGCCGTCGCGTACTTTGCCATGGTGCTCTCGTGGGGCGGCTACGTCTTTCTCATCAACGTCATCCCGATCCACGTGCTCGTGCTCGTCTTCGCTGGCCGCTATACGCCCAACCTGTACATCGCGTACTGCACCTTTTACGTCCTCGCGACGATCCTGGCGATGCAAGTCCCGTTCGTCGGCTTCAACGTCATTCAAAAGGCCGAGTGCATTGGGTCGCACGGCGTCTTTGGCGGTCTCCAAGTGTTTGCCTTTGGCAAGTACCTCCAGTCGCACCTCTCGTCGTCGCTCTCGGCCACGCAGGTGCGCCAGCTCATCACGACCGCAGGCGCGGGTCTGGTCGGGCTCTTGGCGCTCGTCGCGCTTCTCTTGCAACTCACGGGCAAGCTGCAGTGGACGGGCCGGTCGCTCACGCTTCTCGACCCGACGTACGCGTCCAAGTACATCCCGATCATCGCGTCTGTTTCCGAGCATCAGCCGACGTCCTGGGCTGCGTTCTACATGAGCTTTGGCCCGGTCCTGCTCGTGATGCCGCTCGGCCTCTACTACACCTTTGCGTCCAAGCGCGACGAATTGACGCCCGCGGCGCTCTTCCTCATCGTCTACAGCACACTCTCGTGGTACTTTGCGGGTATTATGAACCGCCTCGTGCTCACCTTGGCGCCCGCTGCGTGCGTCGTCGCTGCGATCGGCGTCTCGGGGCTCCTCGACCGCGTCTTCTTTGTCATGAAGCGCGACGAGCATGAGAGCGTCATGGACGCGAGCGGCTTCTTCAACGAAGACGACGACATCAAGGCCGACAAGCTCCAAAAGATCAGAGACGCCCAGCGCTTGCATCCCAACGCGATGCCGGAAGGCGACGATGCGGTCGCCGACCTCTTCTCGTTCACATATTCGGCAGTGTACCTCGAGCCGCAGACCCTTCCCGAGCGCAAGTCGCCCGGCATGATCATGGCGTTTGTCGGCGCCGCGACGGTAGAAATTCTGCATATATTCGGTTTTGCGACTCAATTGTTTGTGTATGTAGATGCTGCTCATGTGGCAGCTCTTCCACTGCTCGAGCATTTCGAGCAAGGCGTACTCGAGCACGTCGCTCGTCCACGAGCAAGTGAACCGCACGACGTGGGAGTTTACGGTCCACGACGACTTTCGCGAGGCGTTTGCGTGGCTCCGGCACAACACGCCGGAAGATGCGCGCGTGCTCTCGTGGTGGGATTATGGCTACCAGATCTCGAGCCTCGCGAACCGGACGGTGCTCGTCGACAACAACACGTGGAACAACACACACATTGCGACCGTCGGCCGCGTCTTTGGTTCGACGGAGGAGGAAGCGATGCCCATTTTGCAGTCGCTCGACGTCGACTACGTGCTCTTGCTCTTTGGCGGCGTGAGCGCTTTTGACGTACGAAGACATACACATTGTATCGAGTCTTGACGACGCATCTTTGTAGGGCGACGACCTCGACAAGTTTCCGTGGTTCCTCCGCATCGCTCAAGGCGTCTTCCCGGAATCGGTCGACATTGGCCGGTTCGAAGTCAACGGCGGCGTCCAAGTAACCCCCGGCGCGACCGAAGCCATGGAGCAGTGCGTGCTCTATAAGTTGAGCTATTACCGCTTCGAGGGCGTGACGCCCGAGTACAAGCAGCCGCCGGGGTACGACACGAATCGCAACGCGCGTGTCCGGTCGACGCCCATCGACCTCACGCACTTTGACGAAGTCTTTACGTCCAACGGCTGGATCGTGCGCATCTTTCAAGTCAAGAAGCACCTCCTGCAGTAGACGTGTAATCGCTAATCGCACTTGGTCGTTGCCGTGGGGTAGGGTTACGACCTCGGAGAACGCATAGATTCGCATCGGGTATCGGAGGTTTCGAAATTCGACGCCTTTCCGCAGTCGCGATCTTCCACAATCCAAGAGGCGTGATGCAGCGCGTGCTCCAACTCCTGGCCGTAGCCTCCTCGGTGCTTAGCGGCGCCATGCACATGCCGGACGCGGCCAAGATCGTCAACCACGGGCTCATCATCAACACCGCGAAAGGACCCGCATCGGTGATCGTCGAACCCGTCGACCACTTTGGCGACGACGACGTCGTGCACTCGATTCGCCACCTCCATGTACGCTCGGCTCGGCGAATACCTCGTAAGGCGCTTGTGTAGAACATTCGGCCCGAAGGGCATACGTCTGGACGCGGTCCAGCGTACGTGGCAGCCCGAAACATCTCGGAAGGCGATTCGATCGTGAGCCTGCCACTCGCCAGCATCATGTCTTCCAAAACAGCGGCAGAGGGCCGGATTCAGGCGCTGCTTCTTGCCAACCCGGACTTGCCGAACGCAGTGGTGCTTGCGCTCCACGTGCTCGAAGAGAAGTTCAAAGGCGCCGACTCCAAGTGGTTTTCGTTTCTGCGGTCGCTGCCAAAGACGCTCCGCGGCACCATCTACCTGCCCGACGTACGACTCTATGACTTACTCTGCGTGGACTCATTTGGAGCAGGACGAAATCGACCTCATCGAGGGCTCGCAGCTGCACCGGCTGACGCGGGCGCGGTTCGAAGCCATCTCGACCTTTTACGACGCTTTGCACGGTCCATTGACGTCGAATGCGATGGACCCGCCGCTCTTCCGCCAACTCGACTTCACGCTCGAATCGTTCAAGTGGGCGCTCTCGATTGTGTGGTACATCTCTACTTGTTGTGTCGCGGTCTCGAGCGCAGTAGGGCACATGCGATCCTGGTGCCAACAACGTCGCAGGCCAATCCCGCCGACGTCGAGGCGTTTCTCGTGCCGATGGTCAGCACGATGGGCCACAGCGCGACCGCGCGCAACCACTTTGACGTCAACTACGAGACGCAAACGTTCACGATGGTGGCGACGCAGCGCTATGGCGTCGGAGACCCCGTGCGAAACACGCAGCATCGCCACTGATCGACTCATTGGCCGCTTGTACTAGGTCGTCATCAACCTCGGCGACAACTCGATGACGCTGTACATGCTCAACTATGGTTTTTGCGGCGACCCGTCGCATCTCGATACGCTGCCGTTGGCGATTCAAGTCGAGGCGAGCGACCCGCTCCTCAAGTTCAAGACGTCGATCCTCGAGATGATCAACTCGACCATGGAGGCTCCGTACGAGCTTGGCCTCGACGCGCCGTTGCCCGCGAGCATGCTGCAGTCGATGCGCATCAAGGTGCGTTCCGTCATCTTGCTTTGTACTGGAAAACGCCTAGGTCATGACGAGCGCCGAGATTGGCGCGTACGACGCCGCGATCGGCATGGAGCGCATCGGGTGCGTGGATCTACGCCTTGAAGACCTCATCACCACCCTAGGCTGCGCAACGAGTATGCCCTTTCCCGAGCTCTCCTCCGGACAACCGGCGCGATGCTCGATGCGTACGCGTACCCGCTCGACGAGGTACGCTACTCCTCCGTCGAGGGTCACATTGGCAGCGCTACTTAGATGCGCCGTGTGCTGCGGACGCTGGAGGGTCGCAGCCGGGACCTCGCGCGGACGGTCATCCACGAACAAGAGATTTTGTCGGCGACCATGGCGGCGGTCCGCGAGCATTGGCACGGCCTCCTCCTCGACGCTGCGTTCGTGCCCACGTAGATCGAGACAATAAGAAAAGAGGGGGCGTGTCGTATATAGGGCGCTAGAACGCAGGACGAGGATTTATAATGTACGGTCCATCGAGGCTGCAGGCAGGTTCTCCTTCTCGACGCGCGACGTAAAGACAACGCCGTGCTCGCCGACGCGCGCCGACAGCGCCGCCTTCCAGTACATGCCCTTGGCGTGCTTGATCTGGAACGGAACTAGGAGCACCACGTGAGCATCCTTGGCGCCAAATACGGGATTGCGCACTGCTGTTGATGTCTTGAAACTTGGCTAATTTGCTCAGCTCCGCCTTGAGCATCGCGACATGGTCCTATGGACAAGGGTTTTGGCGAGCGCAAAGAACCATCGTACCGGGTGCACGAGCTCAAAGAAGCTGACGGTGTCGGCCATGAGCTTCTTCTCCGGGTACCCAAGCACGCGCGAGAAGGATGCTGTCGCGTAGAGCATTTTGCGGTCGTGGTCGGCCGTCACGAGCGCAATCAGATCTGGGTTCTGGTCCACGAGGTCCTTGTAGATCTGGAGCTGCTTGACTTCTTGCTTGAGCGTCTCGACAAACACCTTTTTACGGAGGCGTGACTTGCGCGAGTGATCACGGTTGCGCTCGCGGCTCTTGTCGGCCTTGGAGATGAGCGCGTCCTTCTCGTAGTCAAAGTCGGCTACAACATGCTCGTCAGTTCTGATGCCGCGAGAACGACCTCGCGACGTACAGGCGTTCCACGTGTTGCTGCCGTACGAGTGCGACGTCACGTCCCCGCTCTGCATGTTGCTTTGAATCATCGACGAGAGCATCTCCGGCGACAGCGTCTGCGAGCCCACGAGGCCCGAGCTGAACTGGACAGGCATCGGTTTTTCCGCCTTGATCGGGCCAGGCGCCTGTCCGTCCATCGTCACGAGGCCGGCAGCGCGGGCGTCGAGTGGCATCGCAACATTGTTCATGTTGTTGTTCCCGTTGTGACCTGGCGCAACATGCGGGTTCATCTGGAAGCCAGCGCCGACGCCAGCGGGAAGCGTCATGGACGTCAGGTTGTGGGCGTTGTTGCCGCCCATACCCGGTCCAGCCTGCATCTTCAAGAGCGACTCGAAGTACGCCGCGTTGTTCTGCGCGCGAGCGTCAAAAGTCGGCTTGGGTTGCATCGCGGACCGCGGGCTCTCGAGCTTGACGCCCATCATGGCTGCGTACGCTTCGACCGAGTTGGCGTCCGCGGCCGGGTCGGGCATGTGCGTCGCCGGCTTCATGCCAAACTGGGACGCATATGCCTGGAAGAGCGTCGAGTTGTTGTTGTTGGCACCAACGTTGCCTTGCGGGTTGCCCGCGGCCATCATATCGACGTCGAGGTGCGCGGGTGACACTTGGCCTTGGCGCATCGCGGCGTGATGCATGCCAGGTCGCATGTGCATGCCGTGGCTCTGCGCGAGGCTCATGTTGGAGAGGTTCGTCAGGAACGGGTTGTACGAGTTGTCGAGCAGCCCGAGGTCATCACCGTCCATCATGTCGTCCATCTGCAGGAACGTGTTGCCGTTGTCCATCGTCGCCACTTCTATCCCAGCGAATTTCAAAAAATGACCATCAGCACACCCGCGACTGCGTTTCAGTATACACGGTACATGGATTTGCGCCGGCTATCTGCCAGAAAAAGATCATGTGACAAAAAGGGGTGCCGACCCCTGCCCACGGGTGCCGTGCCACCCACTGCCGTCTGGCCTCCCAACACGGCAGTACACGACAAGGCCTCGACGACGCTATGGACAGCGCGCTTGATGAGCCGACAGCCGTCGCAGCTGGGCCCTTCGTGTCATCATTGTGGGCTTGCCACCGACTTCGGACCCGCTCTCTTCGGGCGAGTCCGGATACTGCGTCCGGAGCGCAAGTAGCAATCGAACGGGTTACAGCCCGCGTTGAAGCCGCCGACGTTGCCGCACGAGATGGAGGAAAGAGCTGGTGCCCGTTAGTACCAGTATCCTCACTGGTATGCAGCTACTGCCACGTACGAAATCCAGCAAACAACTGCTGGGGCGCTAGTGATAGACGCAGTTGCCCCTCCTTGCGAAATCCAACATACCACGTGCCATCTCCCCTCGTGCGTCTTCAAGCTTTTTAGTTCTTACTCCCTGGTCGGCAGCTGCGCCCTACGCACTGCGCTCCTTCAAGAGCCAGAGGAAGAAGGACGCGCTGTGCACATTCACAGAGCAGTTGACGCGGTCCAGGTCGTGGCCGCCTTCCACCAAGCCCCAGCGTTCAATCTAGCAGCATCGTGGACCGATCGTTGTTTGTCAAAGCGGATGGGCGACGCACCTGGAACTCTTCTTCGAGACGACCGAGCTCAATCGCTTCCTTGGCCGTGATGTGGCGCTTCGTGAGGGCCAGCGCCACGGTCATCGACTAGCTCTGGGTTTCAGCATTGCTACCATCATGCAAGTAGCGTACCTTGAGTTCACGCACGATGCAGCGGAAGGCCATGATTTCAAAGTTGTCCATCTAATACCAGCCCATACCGATAAGCGCACGGCGTCATCGGTTCGAGCGGGACAACCTGCTGGAGGTAGGCGCGGACGTTGGCAACAGCCGTCGGGTTGTGTTGAAGCACGGTGATCGTGCCGTGGTTCACATCGAGCTCGCCGTCAAACTCTTCCTCAAACCACTTGCGAAGAGTGCCCCACTTCTTCTCCTGGCGCGTCGCGAGCTTTTCTTGGTGCGTCTTCTCGACAGGGAAGCAGATCGTGTCGGTCTGGAGGTACTTCATGAGCTCGTCCACGATGATGTCGAGTTCCCAAAAGTCAAGCGACGTGGCCGCGAGCGACATCATCGGCATCGTCGACGGCTGGATCGACTCCTTCTGCGCATCCCATTCCATTGCCACGGCGGCCGCAAGCGACTTGGTCGGCAACTGCAGCAACGACCGCGCCGGCGTGCGCACCTTCTTGCCGTCCAGCGTGACGCAAAAACCGCCACCATCAGCTTCGTCCTGCGCCTGCACGCCAACCTCCTTGTAGAAGCGCGAGCGACCAGCAATCTTGGCACCAGAGCCGGCGCCACCACGGGGCGCGAGGCGCACGCCCGTGCTCATGGCGCGGAGCGGAACAGCGCGATGCAT